GGATCTGAGTGTACGTTACCTAGACCGTTTGTTTGTACCAGAATCTTGTAAAGAGGAAGTACTTTGGGAGTTCCTTCACTCACGCCTTGTGGTACACCCGGGAGGTAATAAAATGTATCATGATCTTAGTCGTCAGTTTTGGTGGAGGGGTATGAAATGGGATGTCGTTTTTTTGTATCGAAGTACCTTACTTGTCAAAAAGTGAAGGCCGAACACCAAAGACCAGCGGGTTTATTACAACCCTTATCGATAGCCGAGTGGAAATGAGAGCGTGTTACCATGAATTTTGTAGTTGGGCTTTCTAGAACACAACGAGGCAATGACGCCGTTTGGGTGATTGTTGATAGGTTGACTAAGTCTACCCATTTCATTCTGATGTGCACCAGCGACTCAGTTGAACGCTTGGTAGAGTTGTACATTAGAAAGATAGTTCGGCTTCATGGAGTCCCTGTGACTATTGTGTCGGATAGGGATCCTCGTTTTACTGCCCGGTTATAGAAAAGTCTTCAAGAAGCGTTGGGAACTAAGTTGACTCTTAGCACCGCTTATCATCCTCAAACCGATGGACAGTCGAAACGTACCATTCAGATTTTGGAGGACATGCTTAGAGCTTGTGTCCTTGATTTTAAGGGACCTTGGGAAAGGCACTTACCATTAGTTGAGTTTGCTTACAACAATAGTTACCAAGCTAGTATTGGGATGGCACCATTTGAGGCCTTGTATGGCCGACCTTGTAGATCACTGGTTTGTTGGGCCGAAGTGGGTGATGCATCGTTACTGGATCCAGAAATTATTAGAGAGACAACCCAGAAAGTTGCTCTCATTTGAAAGAGGTTTGCTACGACCCAAAGCCGACAAAAGAGTTATGTCGATAAGAGGAGACGACCTTTATCTTTTAAAGTTGGTGACCATGTGTTTCTAAAAATCTCACCAAGGCAGGGTTTGATGAGATTTGGTAAGAGTGGTAAATTATCTCCAAGGTTCATTGGGCCTTTTGAGATCTTAGTGCGAATTGGGGAAGTGACATATTGGTTAGCTTTACCGCCATAACTTTCGGGAGTTCACAACGTATTTCATGTAGCTATGCTTAGGAAGTATGAACCCGACCCTTCTCATGTGCTTGATTGGGCTGACTTGGAGGTAGATGATGATGCCTCTTACAAAGAACGATCGGTTCAAATATTAGATACCCTGGAGCAAGTGCTACGGGGCAAAACTGTACCTTTGGTAAAGGTGTTGTGGAGACACCATGGGGTTAAAGAAGCGACGTGGGAACGGGAGGCGGAAGTCCGCTCCAAATATCTGGATTTGTTTGAAAATGCTTAAGTTGCTTTTCTTTGTAATATTCCCTAGTGTTGAGGGAAACGTATTTAAAGTTGTTAACCACATGCTGATATGTGCGTTGTTATTTTAAACATAAGGTTGTTGAGAGTTGCCATTACTTTTTGAAAAATTTCATATTTATGCGTATTTGGGAGGTTGTTGTTAATGAGATAACCATCGTGAAAATGGTGGAATTTGGTTGAGAGTTAGTATTGTAATTTGAAAATGAAATAGCGTGGCTTTGATTGCTAGAAACCCCTTTGTTTGGGTAGTTTGATTTGAAATTTCGGGGACAAAATTCTTTAAGGGGGAAAGGTTGTAGCGATCCCGGGAGGAATTTTGCTGGAGATGGTCCTAAACAAGGCGACAACAATGAAATAAAAAGTTCAAAGGAAAATGCTATAACTATGACAAGACTGGACATCGTGCATCTGATTGCCGACGCCCTAAAAAGGATCGCGGAAGTACAAGCAAGAAGGCTACCAATCAAGCCTATGTGACCGAACTAGATTACATCTCTGATGATGGTAAATGACATCAATCTCTCTGCTGTGACATTTGAGGCTAATTTATTTGGAAATCCCAAGGAATGGCGGGTTGACAGTAAAGTAACTCGACACATTTGTGCAGACGGGAAGATGTTTTTAATACCCCTGTTCCGTAATATGTTAATTGGTCCTTAATATGATGTGATTATGTGTTTTAATATGATTTTGTGTTCCATTATGTGAAAATATGTGGTTTTGAAGTTCTATCTGTTCACCGTGGGAATATCTGTTGAATAATCTGCTTTGGGAATTAAATTGAGGGCCCTATCGGCCCCAGAATCCAAAATTGACTACGCCTTTGTGATTGGCATAATTTTTAGAGCCTACGGTGGAATTTAATTGAAAATTGATTCGAGTCAGATTAAATTGATTTAAATGGGCATTCTACACTCAATTCCCTTTTTATATTCATTTGGGCTGATTTCAACTCTAAGATAAGAGAGGGGAGGGTCGGCTATAGAAGGAAAAAGGGGAGAGTTGTACAATTTTGGTTCAAAACTTGAATCTCTTGAAGATCTAACTCAAGATTTGGCTAGAGCTTGAGTGTTGAAGCTCTTAGGTAAGTGAATTCATGGACTCTTGTTTGTAATTTGTAAGTTCAAAGTTGAAAAATGTTAAAGAACATGAATTGAGGTTTTGTTAAATTTGAAGTCTTAGAACACATACATGTAGGAAATTGTTATGAATTTCCATATTTGAACACAATGTGTGCGTAATTGCTTTGAATGTTGCATGTTTGAGCTCAAAGGGGTATGGTCCATGTAAACTTGTAGTTGAAGCTCATGTATAATCACCATTGGTATCATCTAAGTTGAGAATGGGAGCTAGACATCACATGCATGTACAATCTATGAAGATAAGAGCTTTGAATGCATGAAGGTGTATGCTAGAATTGAGTTTGGTGTCAATTTGAGCCATGCATGTGTTAAATCCTTGAAATTGAGCTCCATGAAGATGTGTTTTGGTGTTTATACCATGTTAGTACAAGTATATGTGAAATTGGAGCCATTAGGAGCATGAAATGATGGTTTGAATGTTGAAGGGAGCTCAAGAACTCAATCTGGAAAACCCAGATTTTTATGTCCGCTCGAGCGGGGTGATTGCCGCTCGAGTGGGAAAATTGTGCTCCCAGCACTTTTTGCAGAATTGGATTTCCGCTTGAGCGAGATATCTCACGCTCGAGGGGGAGTTTTGTAGACAGGCCTTCCGCTCGAGCGTATTTTTCATGCAACCAGTACTTTTGCAAGCCTTAAGGGTCCGCTCGAGCGGGCAAGTTGACGCTCGAGCGGGGACCCTGTTCTCTGAAATTTTGTATGCTCGTTCTGTGTTTTGTTTTCCGTTCTCTTTCACTTGTAAGCACTCTTAGGCATATGTTAAGCATTGTAAATGAGTTAATGAGATAAGAATAAAAGAACGGATTGAACTGTTAATGACCCTTTTGTGTTCATGAAATGTGTAGGGTCAAGCTCCAAGGCAAATCCACAAGCCGATCACTGTGAGTAATATCGATATTTGAATGATTGTGAATGTCCAATTATTATTCCTTTATAAGTTTTATGAGTTGCTAATTGGAATTGTGGACAAAAGTCAGACAGGAATAAACATAAATGGACCAAAGGTCGTTTTGATAAACATAAATGGACCAAAGGTCGTTTTGATAAACATAAATGGACCAAAAGTCGTTTCGATAAATATAAATGGACCAAAGGTCGTTTCGATAAACATAAATGGAACAAAGGTCGTTTTGATAAACATAAATGGACCAAAGGTCGTTTTGATAAACATAAATGGACTAAAGATCGTTTTGATAAACATAAATGGACCGAAGGTCGTTTTGACATATATTATAGCGATCCCGGGTTTACCCTTGTTGAACAGTGATCCGGACATGTGTCCGTGGATGTTAGTAATTGATTATTGTCTTGTTTACATCTGTTACTACTTTGAATATTGAGTTATAAGATGTGTTGGGCAGGTTGTTACAGGTTGGTTGTGTTTGGGAGCCTAGTGCTGCTGCCCAGATTTTTGGACCTTCGCTCGAGCGAGGAGTTGGTCGCTCGAGCGAGAATTGAGTTCGTGTCTGGTGGATCGAGCCAGAGTGGCTTCGCTCGAGCGAGCGATTGCGTCTAGTTCTGGACCTGAGAGTTGCATTTCTTGGCTCGAGCGAGATTTCTTCGCTCGAGCGGTCTGGTTTGTTCTTCGCTCGAGTGAGAAGTCTGTCGCTCGAGCGTGCTGGTGGCAGACCTGAGGGTTTGAGTTGTTAGCTCGAGCGAGCATTCTTTCGCTCGAGCTCACTTCTAGATTTTCGGCTCGAGCGAGAACTTCTTGGCTCGAGCGAGAGTTTTCTGTGTCTGGTCGCTCGAGTGACAAAGGCTTCGCTCGAGCGAGCGTGTTTTATATCAGCGGACAGTAGCGTTTTTGAACTTCAGTTTTTCACTTCCTTTTCTTTCAAACCCTAGATCCGAGACTCTCTCTCTCTAAACTTACAGTACCACTAATTAACTAAACAAAGAAATTAAATGGCCTTGGGAAGCGGGGGATGCATGAATAATCGGTTTATCCACCCGAATGGCCACTGTTTTGCTGCTACAAGCCTCTGTTGCACAGAAGCACTTACACTTTCCTCTTCTCCAGATCAAATTTATTCTGACTCGGGAATATTCTGCTGAATGTCATTGGAGTGTGAGCTCCTCCTCTATTGTAATCTTTCTGTAATATCTCCATTGTTATAGCTCATATGCTTATCTATTGAAAAGTTTGTTTGATTTGATATAGCACTAAAATGTATATCATCATCGTTTGTGAAGTATGGAAGTAGTTTATGTGTTATTGATACAACACCAAAATGTGCATCCACCGTGAATTTTGAAGGTGTTCTAGTGATGAACTATAATCTCATCAAAATGTTTTGGCCAGAGTACTGAACCCTGTTTTCAAACTCAAAGTTGAATAAGAAATGAAAAGTGAATTGTAACATAGGTTTGGTTGTCATGGAATTGAAATAAGATGTAAATGGAAGTGTAAGTATCGACCATCTATCAGTTGCTAATCTTTTAATCATTCTTCATAGTTGGTTTAGTATATCTCTGCTGGGCTGTGGCTCACCCTATATGGGAACATCATTTGCAGGTACAGGTAGCATGCCGCCTCTAAGGACATAGCTTGGGAGGCTAGGGGCAGGACATACTTTTGTTGCCTTATTTTCCTTTTGATGTATTACATGTAAATTCAAGCCAAGGGCTTAATGTGTAACCGAGTTAATACTCTCTTTTGTAACCAAGTGATAACTTGGAAAGCTGTAAGCCCGCAGGGCATATACTTTTGTTATTAACGTGTAATACTTTTGTAATGAAGTACTCTGATTAATTGAGGGAATGTGGATCTTTTATATATAAATGTATGTTTATATTGATGGGTTTAATGTTATTATTTTGAGGGCGTTACATATATGAACGGACCAAAGGTCGTTTTGACCTATACGAATGGACCGAAGGTTGTTTTGACATATATGAATGAACCGAAGGTCGTTTTGACAGAAATGAATGGATCGAAGGTCGTTTTGATAGAAATGAGTGGACCGAAGGTCGTTTTGACATATATGAACGAACCGAAGGTCGTTTTGACATATATGAACGGACCTAAGGTCATTTTGACATGAATGAGTGGGCCGAAGGCCATTTTGACACGAATGTATGAACCGAAGGCCGTTTTGACAGAAATGAATGGGCCGAAGGCCATTTTGACATGAGTGGAAATCTGAATGGGCCAAAGGCCAGAATGTTTGGAACTACAGCCACTTGATTTGAATTTCGTATAGTTATATATTTGTTAAATAGAAATAAGAATTGGGCCCAAGGCCGTTTGGAACATGTTGTTCTACATTGTTATGTAACTTCTGTATTTGATTTGATATTATTCACTGGGCGTTCGCTCACGCTCATTCATGTGTTTGTAGGTGAGCCAAGGGAAGTCCAAACCCAGCCCTAGTGAAGTCTGTGAGGAGCAACAAAGGTTTCGGAGAGTCAGCCCTCGTGTCTCACGTACGAGACCCGTCTTCGCCCTTTTGTTATGTATTTACAATTTGTCATGTTGGGGAGGACTTTGTGTATATCTATACATAGCTGTGATGGGTTGACTTAGTTTTGAATGATCCTGTTTATACAGAACTTATGTCACTATGTTTCTGTTGTGAGTTATTAATGTACATATGTATGGTTTGTTTTGATGTGCCATGTAAGCACAGCTCTATGGACAAAGTTTTAAATTTTGCTTCCCTTTTGGCCCCCTTTACTCTCATGTGTTATGTCTGTTTTGGTTTGAGGCCGTAGGTAATCTTAGGATTACTGGCCGGTTACGTCCTTAACCTATGGGGGCGGGTTCGGGTCGTGACAATGTTCACTACTTATAATGAGACTACAAATGGTGAACAACTTTTCATGGGAAATTCGTCTACTTCTACCGTGGCTGGATGAGGGAAAGTTGTCTTTAAGATGACATCGGGGAAGGAACTTACCCTCAACAACGTGCTGCATATACCAGACATCTAGAAGAATTTAGTTCTGGTTCTTTGTTAAGGAAAAATGGTTTTAGACTTGTATTTGAATCTGATAAATTTGTATTAACAAAGAATAGTATGTATATGGATAAGGGATACATGAGTGATAGTCTCTTCAAATTGATTGTAATGACTGTTGTATCAAAATCTGTTATGAATAAGAATAACACATCTTTTGCTTATATTGTTGAGTCAAATTTATGGCATGGTAGATTAGGACATATGAATTTTGATGCTTTGCGTAGACTAATGGGTTTGGATTATATACCAAAGTTTGAAATTGATTCTAATCACAAATGTGAGATATGTGTAGATGCAAAACTAACTAAGACTCCATTTAAATATGTTGAAAGAAAAATTGAACCTCTAGAATTAATTTATACTGATGTGTGTGATCTAAAATTTGTTCACTCTAGAGAAGAAAAAAAGTATTTCATAACATTTATCGATAATTACACAAGATAGTGTTATGTATATTTACTTAGAAGTAAATATGAAGCCTTGGAAATGTTTAAACTCTACAAAACTGAAATTGAAGATCAACTTGGTAAAACTATTAAAATGGTTAGAAGTGATAGGGGTGATGAATGTAATGCACCTTTAAATGAATTTTGTGCACAACATGGCTTTATTCATCAAACTACAACACCCTATTCTCCACAGCAAAATGGAATTGCTAAAAAAAATAATAGAACCCTTAAAGAAATGATGAATGCCATGTTACTAAATTCAAGCTTACTGTAGAACTTGTGGGGGGAAACAATATTGTCTGCTAATTATGTTCTTAACAAGATACCCCACAAGAAAACTAACAACACTCCTTATGAATTGTGAAAATGTCAACTACCTCCTACAAATACTTAAAAGTGTGAGAGTGTTTGGCAAAGGTAGAAGTTCTTGTTCCGAAAAAGACTAAGATAAGATCAAAAACAGTGAATTGTGTGTTTATTGATTATACGCATAATAATAGTGCATATCGGTTTCTGACTTATAAATCCAAAATACCTGATATACATGTGAACACCATTATAGAATCAAAGAATGCTGCGTTTTTTGAACATGTTTTTCCTTACAAGAAATGACAAGAATTAAGTTTATGGAAAAATCAAACGCAAGAGACTAGTAATGGTCTCGACCAACAGGATTTAACTGATGATGAACCAAGACGAAGTAGGAGAGCGAGAATATCAAAATCCTTTGGTCCAGATTTTTTGACATACCTATTAGAAAATGAGTCTCAAAGCTTTAAGGAAGCAATGTCAACTCTTGAAGCACCTTTGTTGAAAGAGGCTGTTAATAATGAAATTGAATCCATTATGCAGAATTATACTTGGGAATTGGTGGATCTTCCACTAGGTTTTAAACCTCTTGGGTATTATAGACACCCCATTTTTTACAGCCATTACGACTTGGACGTCATCTCATGCATACCCGATGATAAGTTTATTTGCTCGTCAAGTGCTCGAAGTCCTTAGTGGGAAGCCGTAGCTTTGAGCCTTTCAAACCCTGCACATTTGTTGCCCTATTTTTGGACCAAACCCTGTGTTTTTCAAACCTGCAGCTCCTGGTGGCCTATTGGCCACCTTTTTGGGCTGCCGGCCATCACTTTTTGGTTGTCGGCCACTGATGTGGCTTACCGGCCACCAGTTTCTTTTGCAGATATTTTGTGACAGTTGTGCTAGCTGTTTGCACAGATGCATGCATTTGTCCCCACGTGTAGGGCTGGATATTCTTGAGGAGAATTCATGTTTTCTATATATATATAAGGCCCTTCTCTCATAATTTAAGGTTGGAAATATTTTAGATCAAAATTTTTCCTCGCTCTCTACAATTCTCTTTCTCTTTCTAGCAAATTCCTACACTTTTGCCTACAAATCCTTAATCTTTTCCCATACGCCCTTAACCAAACCTTCTCATCTTTGAGCTGAGGCACTTTTGAGCTTTGTTTGAGCTCTTGAAGGGTGTGTTGTCTTGGTTTTGTTGCTTGAATTGCTTCTTCTCTTCAAGAGGTATAAAGCTTTACATATTTGCTTGCTTTCTGTACTATTTTTCCTATTGTTTTCCAACTATTTTTGGGCTATGAAACTTCTGTATTTTTAGGTTGAAACTTGGATTTTAAGGCCATTAAAGGTTGAGGGGTGGTTCACCCTTCTTTACACCTTGTTTTGGAGGCCTTTACCCTTGTGTTTCCCATCGTTTTACTATCTATTTTTGAGTTTTTAAATACTATTATTTTAGAGTTATTTTAGTGGCTAAAATCATGTTTTGAACTCCAAATTTGATGGGGTTAGCCTCCCCTCTTTGTGTCTTGCTTACTAGCATAGTTTGTGCCATGTTTTAGCATATTAATCTAGCTATTTTTGTCTCAATTCCAGCATGTTTTATGACTTATTTTGAACTTTTTTAGTACTGTTTTTGGTTGAGCTTTGTTTTGTATGCTTATAGTGCAATAATCCTCATGAGTTTGGTGTTCTAGGCCTTAGACACTTTCTCCTTTGAGTTGATTGCATTTATTTATGGTTTTCCATACTTATGATCACTTTTAATCATCTCTACAACCTCCCTCCTTTCTTGGCCTTTGTTTTTCTTTGAAAGTGGTTCAAATAACTTGTTTGTTTAAAGCATGAGATTGAGGTGTCATGCTTAATGGTTTAATTCCTTTGGGATTCATTACCAACGGTATGATGTCTCTTTCATGTCTAAAACAACTTGTGCTTTGAGCCCTTTTTCCATTTAGAGAACTTAAACTCACCATTGGACTCAATGAATTAAAGAATTGAAAGGTAATTAAAACGAAGTAATTAAAATGGGACTAAAAAAGGTGCAAGATAATAATTTGTTTGTGTTCAATCAAATATTAATTGAACACATGGAAGCTTGATCCATTTCATACTCATCAGTAATGAAATGATTCAAGTTTCCAAGGTCACCACTTCCCTTGATCAACTCACAAAAGGGAGGAGGTTAGAGTTTTATTTTGTTGCATTCATTGAAATTGTACATTTTGGTTCATATGTCATCATGCAATGAAATTGCTTGAATTGGTGGTTTGTGGACCAAGTTTGCTACTCTTTTGATTTGTTCATGAAAATGAGAGGTGAGTTATGCAAACAACCCTTGAGAATACCCTATGCATGCATTGTTTGTCTTCTATTGCAGTAAGATGAACTGGGTAGTAGTGGCTGGCAGACCACTTTCCATGGCCGGCCGGCTATCACTGGTGGCCGGCCAGCCATTGATGCAAAATTCAGCAGCATGTTTGTAAGGCAGAGCAAAGTTATTTTGGAAGTGGACAACAATGTTAGTGTTCTATTGTGCAACAAAGGCTCTCCGAAAGCAAAACAATGGCTTTTCAGGTAGAAACTGAGCATGTGTATGAGCATTCCTCGTGTGTCAAGCATGTTTTAAGTTTAAATTGTTGTAATTAATTAGTTGTAGCTAGTTAATTTTGTAAAGTGTTGTAATTAATTAGTTAGTCAATTAGTCATTCAATTTCGTCTTGTAATCACTGGTGGCCGGCCAGCCACTGATGCAAAATTCAGCAGCATGTTTGTAAGGCAGAGCAAAGTTATTTTGGAAGTAGACAACAATGTTAGTGTTCTATTGTGCAACAAAGGCTCTCCGAAAGCAAAACA